TACATTAATTCTTTTATTTTCAAATCCAAAAGGACACTGGGCATTTTCATCATAGCATTTAGCAGCGCCACCTTGTTCTTAAAACTCTTCCCACATGGCTCCTGTGAGTTGTTCCTGCTCCTACTTCTCCCACTGCCCCATGGTCTGTTGCTCTCAGACCCCGTGATTTCGCACCTGGCTCTTGGCTCTCTTCACTTCACATTCCCTCTGTGAGCAGCATCACCCATGCCTGTGGCCTCCGCTGCCACCTCCCAGAGCAGTTGCACAGCTTGAAACACACATCCCCAACTTCTCTCTCATCCCAGTCACATCCAGTGTGCCCCGTGCAGCCCTATGCTCATCAATCCCCCCCCCCCCCCCCCCAAAAAAAAAACAACTATCTTGTGTTTTCTTTATTTGGGTGATAATCCCACAATCTATCTGGTTGTCCAGGCCTGGGGTTCTCTCTCCCCCTCTTCCCTCCATCCATCCAGTTTCCCCTGAAGGTTGGACCTTCATCAGTTTCATACAGATGTTTGCAGTAGCATCTTTGTTCTCCCTGCCTGCTGTGTCTTCCTTCTATAATCTGTCCTCCACTGTAGCCCAAAAGGCCTTTTCTAGAATTCAAGTTTGATCTTGTTGCCTTGGCTGCTTAAGTCTTCTATGCCTGACATTGACTTTTAGACAACATTTCAGTTTCTTAGTACACAAGGTCCTCTGAGAGCTGGATGCCCACGCCCTGTGCAGCCACTTCTGTGCCCCTCCCCGCTCATTTTGGGTGACTTGCTATGAGCAATTGTGCTCTCTCTTATCACTGTGTCTGTACATGGGCTATTCTGTTGTCCCTCCTGTGCTGACAAGTCCAATTGGCCTTTAGGACACAGATCGGACACCACTTTGTGAGGAGCCCTTCCTCCCCACCAGTGCCTGCTCCCTGGGGCTCCTGCACACCTCGCCCCTACATCTGCCATAGTTCTTCCCATGTTCAGGGCTGCCTACGTGTCAGTCTCCCAGCCACCGCACACCTCGCCCCTACGTCTGCCATAGTTCTTCCCGTGTTGCTCAGGGCTGCCTACGTGTCAGTCTCCCAGCCACACAGGGAGCACCCGGAGCATCTAAACTCCTCCCCTTGGCCTTCACTCCTCACTTCTTAGCCTCAATCCAGGGACACAGTGGGTTCCTCACACACACTTGCTGAACGAGTGAATAAGGCCCGTGGGAAGAATAGCGTACTCAAAGACTCTGCCCATCTTCCCCCAGCACTCAGGTTGGGCCAGTCTCTCCATTCTTACCTGTAGGATGGAGGCCACATTCCGTAGCCTTCGTCAGGAATTTCCATAGTTTACTTCTGCCTGCTTTTTAGGTGTATATTCTAGTCTTTTTGGAAAATTCTGATCTGTTTACCTTTAAACATTTCATTCTCATTCCAGACTCTTCTACAAATTGAATAGATTAATGAATGGAGTGGGAATATGCATAGACCCCACATCTCAAGGCCTGTGTTCTGTGCATAAGAGCATCTTGCCTTTTAGCATAAACAAAGCAGCTCTGAATTACTTAGCCTCTCATCCCCTGGCGGTTCTCCCTCTCTCCTCTGCCTCTTGTGTTTGGAAGACCCTGGCAGGCATTAGCTGCACATGGTCCTGACTGCCTGATAATAATTTCCCATCATTTAAGTGCCAGAGCCAAGTACCATTCCCCTTTCATTTAAATTAGATAAAACCCGAGCTGTGGCTTGCAAGTGATGGAAGTCCACTGGGGAAATTAAAGGTTCAGAGAGAATGGGACCCATTATAATAAAAGCATTTGCAACGCCAGTGATTCCATCTACCCTGTGGCTCCCATGCTCCTTGGGGTAGGATGAAATATGAAGCAAGAGGACCTTTGAAAGTAGTCTGAGGAATTTATTTTAATTGGAAATGGTGACGGCATTCTGCGCTTGGCGTAAACTCTGCGGATCGTGCACAGTGGTGTGATGGGCATTGGGTAAAGGGCCGGAGGGCACCCAGTTCATCTCGGGTTCTTTCTGCTCCCACATATGTACTGAGCAGACATGGCCCCCAGGCCCATGCCTCCCTTCTTCTCACCCTCTCTTCCTCCCTTCTTCCATTTGATCCCACAGTTGGTGTTTAATAAAAAATTATATGATGGCACCTAAATCAGTCAACTGCTAGGCCTTCAATTCTGTTGACTCTGAGACCTCAGATTAATCCATGCAGCAGACAGAATGGCCAGAAGAAACACGATCTGCTTTCAAATTTGAAAGAACACAAAATAATAATAGCGCGCTTTTCCCCCCAGCACATCCTATGCCCTGTCAATTAAACACATTACTTGCATTTCTCATTTAATTCCCACAGCCCTACTGTGCCAGTGGTATCTCCATTTCACAGATGGGGAAACCACATCTCAGAGAAATAAAGATACTTGTCCAAGATCACATAGCTATCATAAATGGCAGGACCAGAATCACTGCTGAGATACAGGAGAAAACCATGTTGAGTGGCAGAACCAGGTTTCGAACTCAAGTCTGACTGCAGAGCCCATGCTTTTCTAGACTGTGTCCACATAACTTGAACAGGTTCCATTCCTGAACACAAGACACAGGCTGGCATTTGGATTCGGCTACTTTTACCTGGGAGAGGTCTTGTTATTATGCATGTGTCCTATCACAATGCCAGTGTTCAAGTTTAATAGTGTGGGCTTTCGGATATTGTTATACAGTTGTTCAATCTGCCTTTACCTTCTCACTTTTGTATTTTAGATGCATCATCCCATTCAGATGAAACCTGCGGATAGTGAGAAGTCAAACGGTAGGTGGTGATCAACTGTCTCATCTAATGTCTGTGTCTGTAAGTAGGAGGTCCGCAGGGGGAGGGAGGTGCCAGCCTCAGCAAGGTGGAGACAACTGCTCCGGAAACTGGCCCTGTAGTTGGCTCGTCTGGGGAAACTTGAGCTTCACTCTCTTGCCTCATTTACCTCTTGTGTGTAAAGATCCCTGAAGATGTTACCAGAAATGGTTTTTCGTGTCCCTCTGTGTGGGCTTGCTCTGGGTGGTGACCCTGTGGCCTCTGGCTCTTGTTTATCTGCTCCTACAGAGCAACACAGGACACCTGATGGGGAGGAATGACCTTACACTGTGCAGAGAAGGTGAGCGGGAAAGGGAGGCTCACGAAGAACCATGCTACCTCTTTTCTCTCTTCCATTTATTCTTCTGTGGCCTGGAGGCTGACTTACTGCACTATTCTCTAAATTGTTCCAATGCATTTGCATCCAAATTCATTCAGAATTCAGTCTGCTGATTAAATAAACATGCACGCGGTGCAAAAATATGCATTTGATGAGGTCCATGGAATCATTGAGACTTGACTGTCCGAGACACGAGAGGGTTGATAGCCACGTTTCTCTCTCTCCGGCTTTTGCTTCCACTGACACCAGCCTTTTGTCCCTGTTTTGTTCTTTGAATTTACTGAAATGTATGTTAAAGGACTCTTCTACCTTCTTCCACCTCAGAGCTTGCCCGTCCCACAAGACTGACATGATGGGCACGCTCCCTTCCGCAGGCAGTTCTGCACCTCATTCATTAGTAATCAGGGCAGAAGCCATGCACTCAGAGATCTGCATATCTGCAAATGTAAATTATGATTGGGCTCTAAGTCTCTCTACAAGGTATTATTTGCTAAGTGCAGTGCATCCCATTTTACAAGCTAGAAAGTTTTGAGGAGAATCCCATGGATTGTGGGCTGCTAGCACCTGGTTTGTGTGGCGGAGAGCAGACCTCAGTGCTTTGCCCACGATCTTCTCCTTAGCCACACCTTCTCAGAGGGTTACCTCCCTGTGTCCTCCTCTACTTCATCACCAACACGCACTTAGTGTTGGAGGGTCTCTAACCTGCCACTGCTTTGTTGTGGAATCTCGGTCAAGTCCCTTCATTCTTTTATTAGACAGTGCGTTCTGATTATGTATTGTGTGCCAGGCACAGTACTGGCTGGGGCTGCAAGAATGAATTTTAAAAAGAACCGTCTGCAGAAGCCTGCCCTGACCTCATGGAACTTACATTCAGTCTACTGATCTCTGCTAGTCACTCAAAGACTGAACCTGAATGCCCTCATCCATAAAATAAGAATGATGGCAACTGCCTCACATAGGTTGCCCTTTTTTTCAGACCTGGACAAGGTGTTTGTCACATTGCTTTGTAAGGGATGGAGCACCTCTATACATATTGACTATTGCTATCCAGATTTGTCCCTGGCCCTAAAGGGTTCTGCACTGGGCATGTCCACCCATGCTGAAGGCCGTGCACCCATGCCAGTTCCCAGAACCCTTTGCTCCAGAGTGCACATTTACAGTCTGTTCTGCTCCCTGGGGGAGAGAGGAATCTTGCATTCATGGGATGAATTCTGACAGTGAAGGTCCTCTTAGAGTTCTGGCCCAAAGAGATGCTCCCTGTCCTCTGGCCCTATCACTCTGTAAACTGTGTCCATACAGGGACCAGGGAATGAAAGTCTATGGAAAAGGGATCATTCTGTTTCTGAACCTTAGGTCATGGTTATAAAGACGTGATCAATTAGAGACCTGAGTAGGAAACATTTGACTGAAATACCCAAATAATTGAGCCATGAAGGGATTTCTTTTGCATTTTCGGATGTCCCAGGGCACAACCCCAGACTGCCATAGAACAGCTGCAGGGGGTCTCAGAATGGCCCATTGCCCTTGCTGCCCACTGTCTACTCTGCACACTGAGGGTAATGTTAGCCACAGCAACAGAAGAAAGCTGCCATGATCTCAAAAACCAAGCAGGAGTGGGCATTGTTTTACTAAGATGAGAGAATACCTAAAAATAAGGCCATTTTCCAGGGAGCATCCTAGAGTAGCAATTAAAAACCAGTTTGAGGAGCCTGGACTTGACCCCTGACCCTGCACTTGTCAGCTGCATCCTTGGTCATGTTCTGCAACTTCCCCTGGCCTCCTGTGTCCAGCTGTAACGGGGCTGCGGTGATCGGTAGTTGGAATTCCCCTGGTAGCACTTGCCGCACAAGGGTGTCTGAAGGGTACGTAAGTCACCATCTATGAAGACTGAGCATAAAACCTGGCGCATGGTAAATACTTGCAGTGCTGTTACCGATGTGAGTCCGGCTCGCTGAAGCTGGTGCTTCCAGCCGTGGCTGTTCTTATCAAGCACAGACCTGTACACACAAAGGAGCCCCCCAAAACCTTCTTGTTAGATCAGTGCTCCCTTTGCTTTGTAGATTGGCCTTCATTTCCTGAGTTTCCAATAAAAAAAGTCAAAGTATAAGTGGACCAAAATCTGCTTTATCAAGTGCTCTTCTTTTCGGAGGCTCCCGTGGAGCCCACCTTGCATAGATGTGAACAGGGTTCCAGGTTCTCCTTGGACCTGGTGGAGGAGTCGGGGGGAATGTATACTTTCCCAAAGCAAGTGAAAAGAGCTGCAAGCCTTTTCTGATTTCACATGGCAGCTTTGACAGGTAAGCATAGTTTCCAAAGCTCAGAGAGCACCAAGATTGCTTTGGCTCAGATGCTCCAAATAGCTCCAGTAGTTGTGAAAGAAGTCTGACGAGCTCTAATTGCACTTATATTGAGTTTGCTGACATTTATGGATAGCACAAAGGGCTCATCACAGTGAGACAGTTACTGCCTTCATTAGCAGGATGCTCTGATTTCTAAAACTTTGTATTTTCTGAGCAAGACAGGCTGCTCATCATAGATTAATTAGTGATGGACATGTGAATTCCAGAAAAGCAATCACTCTTTTCAGCCTTCATCCATGCAGAGATTCTGACCAAGGGAACCTCTGTGGTGAGCTCAGAAATGTTGAACTGCTCTCCGATCTGCCCTGCACATCCCGTATTTTACTGACCGGGCTCCTGAAATCTTCCTGGCTTCCTCTAGTCTCTCCTTTTCATTGGCTCTGATTTAAGCTGCAGCCTCTAGCACATTGATGCCAACTCACTCGTTTTACTACTGCCTTCATGCTTCTATGCAAGGTGTCTTCCCCGCACACACAGTGCATTAGCAATAAAATGCCTCAGCCTTTAAGAAGAACACACTGAATCAGTACCCAAATTTCAATAGAACCCAACTTTTTTTGTTATTTCTCCATTGCACATAGTCCAGTGATGGTGGGGGAAGGGCATTGGAGGAGGTGTGGCTTTCAGGGACCAGCATATGCCAGCACAAACATTGTTACTATCTTCAATTTCGTGTTATCATTGGAGGGCCTGTTTTCCACCTTTTAATCCTGCATCACTATACAGGAAAAGATACCAGCAGTGCAGTATTGAAAATTAAATGCAGTTCCTAGATCTGAAGTTTGTCTAGGTGTGAGTGATAGGAAAAGCATAGAGTTGCCTCTGGTTCTGTGCTTGGGGCCCTGGTGGCTGAAGCTGGTGCACACTCTTGCTTCATGCTCCTGGGTGAGAGGCTTGCCCATGATTCTGTGGCCAGAGCATAAATCCATCCTGCTTTCACTCTCCTCCCTCACAACTTGTAGGGGTCCTTGAAGCCTCAAATCCAGAAATGCCATTCAAGACCCCTGTCTCTTGTCCCAAAGCCTCCAAAATCCCCAGGGTGTCCCTCTGCCCAGTTCAGAGCTCTCAGGGGTCAAGATAACCTAATACTGCCCGGGAGAGTAAAGACCAGCAAGGCTCCAATACACATAGTTATATTCCCATCCGGCCCGTTTCTGATTTATTAGAAGATGAAGAAATAATTCTGAAATTCAAAGTGGAGAAACACACAGATTTGGAGGCAATAATTAAATGCCATATGTTAGTACTAACACACTGAGAAGTTGTTAATTAATTCAGGCCACCCCAAATCCAGGTGTGACTTTGAGAGGTTGTATACCAGGGTGGAAGCACAGGCTTACAATTAGGAATTGCTTTAAAATTTAAGTTCCTCTTCCCGGGACTTAAAAAATTTCCCACTTATCCTATTAACTCTTTCTTATTTAAACTGTGGAAGGAAAACCTGGAGTGGTCCCTGGGCTGGAGACCCTTCCAGGCTTGCCATTGTTGTTTCTGACGGCGGTAACCCGTCTGTGCAGCACTGTGGGCATTGGTCTTTCCCCTCATTCCCCTGCTGGTAATCCTAAAGGAAAACAGGCTTTTTCCCAAGAGGGTAAAGACCCTCTCTTTTCTGTCTTTTCTTTATTCTTTTTTTTTTTTTAATTTCCCTAACGCACTTAGCAGAGTACTGTGAACGTGGTTGGTTTATTTAAACAATCAGCATTCTTGTGGATTGAAAAAATAAGTAAGATACTTACTGCCTGTTCATCAAACATTGATGGAAAAGTTAAGTGAATTGGAGATCATTGTATTTATTTAAAATGTTGACAAACCTGTTTAGAGGGATCCTTAGCGTGGGAGTCCCAGGAAGAATTTGTATGAATAAATTTTCACTGGAAAGTCAGGAAAACTCAAGGAAGAGGGAGGGCGGGTATGTGTAGTTATCCCCATTTTGCCATCAAAGCAAACATGGCCCAGCTGTTAAAACCACAGAGCAACCTTGACTAGCAAAAGATTGCAAACATCCAGCTCCCTGTATGCACACACACACACACACACACACACACACACATGCAGATTAGCATTTTGACTAGGATATGGATGGTATAGATTCTGATTTTTTTATTTTTAGCTAATAGGTGTAATTGAAAAAAAGTGAGTTATCACCCATCTCCCTGCCTGTCTCAATCGACCCTTCATGGTGACTAGGAAGTCAGAATTTCTTAAATGGTTTTCACTATTTTAATATTCATCTTAGTTTTTAAAAAAATCATTTTTAGCTTAACTGAGGAGCTGCATGTTTGTTTATTATCATATCCCTCTGAAGCTCAACATCTACAAATTGTTTTCGTTAAATACCATAATCATAGGTTTACCAGTGAAACCAAGGACCGACTGGGAATGTGTTATTTGCTTTTGTCTAAAAGAACTAAAACCAGAGTTTTTAGGATTAGAAAAAATAAAACAGGAATTTATTGTTACGATAGCAGCCACAGCCTCCACCAGGCAGAGCCCCAGAGATGAGAGGGAGAACGGAGGGTAAGAAAGACCCTAGAGGTGATTCCCTTCCCGCTGCCCCTATCCAGGGGGTTCCTGCGCTCCCGTTCCAGCCTGAACAATATCATGTCCTCACAGTGGAGGGTGTCCTGGTGCTGGAGCTCACAGCACCCCATGTTTCCAGCACTCCGATCGTTGTTGTGCCAACGTTGCCCTCGACTTCCTGTGCTTTTACCAGTTCCCAGGAGGTCATGGGTAGTTCACTTACTCTGCAAGGAGAAAAGATAAACTGAAAAAATGTTTTATCTACATGCAAGAAGTCAGGTCCTCACTGGCCTCCCTCCAGGAATCAGCAGTGACCCCCAGGGCCCACGGCAGCCTTGGACCCTCTGTTACCTTCCTTATGCGCTGAGCCCCTCTCTACAGAAGCAAGTCCCGGTGCCGGTTGTGCTGAAGCCAGGCTGCTGCGCTCCCTCGGCCCCACAGACAGGCCTTCCTCACTCCGGGTTCTGCCCCTGCCCCGCCCGTCAGCGTGTTGTCCCCCTCCCGCTGCCAGCCTAGCTGGACCCTGCCTTGCGTCTGAAAAGCCAGCTTCATGTCCATCTTCCATCGGGCCTTTCTGAAAAGCCATGGGCACAGTTCACAGTGGACAAGTCCTGTGGGATTGTGGTTTCAGCCCGTGTTCCTTGGAGCCCGGAGTTCCTCTGCATGGCCTTCGCAGCAACCACAAGTGTGGGAGAGGCTGCACAGAGGGGCTCTGGGCTCCAGCAGGCCCCCACCCCATAGGCTTCAGTCAGCCAAAGCTGGTGGCTGGGCCACTTCTCTCCAGTATTTAAGGAGGAGAGGAAGGAAAGAGGAGAGGGAAAGGAATAGAGGTTAAGCCTTCATTTTATAGATGACACAACATGTCCGCAGAGGTCGGCTCATTCTCCAGCAACTGAATGGCTGCCCTGGACCTGGGACCCGAGGTTCCTAATTCCAACCTCGCTCTCCCCTTCAGGCCTCATCTGCCGCCTCTGGGCTGCCAGGCCACACGGTGGAGTGGAGAAAAGCCTGGGCTGCCCTAAGATACTGGGTCATGGTCCGGGTTAGACCACCTCCTTGCTGAATGACCCAAGCAAATCCCTCCCCCCGGCCAGGCCTCAGAATCTCTCTCAGGCCAAACAACACACCTCTCCAGGCTCTCACGTCCACCCTGGGGTTCTGTGACCTGAGCAGCTAGCTGTCTCACCTAGACCCCTCAGAGCTGTGCTGTCCCAGAGAGTAGTCACACGTGGCTTTTCACATGTAAATCAGCTCACAGCAAATTACACTAACCTCCAGCGCCTCAGTCACAGGAGCCACCCGTGCTCCAGCCACTGCAGGGACGTCACTAGAACTTTCCCTTCCTGCGAGCTCCGCTGGACAGCCTCGGAGGGCGCCTCAAGCCACATCACTGCTGCCCCCGCAGCTCCTCTGTCCCCCGCCGGAGGCAGAGGCTGTGGAGTGCGGCTGACGGGACAAAACTAACTGGCCCAGAAGGTCTAGAGGACAGTCTTGTGGGTTGGGTGAAAAAGAGACACTTACTTTCCAGGAAAAGGATGAGAGAAACAAGTAAAAGATTACAAAGCACGTACAGGTGTGTGCGTGGCGATATCTTGGGAGCCCTTCCCTAGGCCAGGCCGCTCTGAGGGGCTGCTGCAGCCATGGGCCTTCCCTCTCATTCTACGATGAACGGGCAGGAACATGGGAGCAGCAAGCCTTCCCCCTGAGGGTTCGGTAACAGTCTCTTGCTCTCTCCTAAGAAAGGACTCCCGGCCCTGTCCTGAGCTATAATGTCATCTTTGAGGCTCAGTGTGGGCCAGCCGCCCTGAGCACAGGCGTGGAGATTTTGAGGAAAATCTCCCAGGTTGTCTGAGGCAAACCTTCCCTCATCTTTTCCCCCATCAGGTTCCAAGGTTAAAATGTGCATGTTGTTGTCATGACATCCAAAGTGCATTTCTGTTCATCAAGAGCCCTGCCTCCAAGTGGGAGGAAAAGTACTGTTCCCTCCTTGTTCTTTTTTTTTTTTTCCGGTAAGGGCTTCGCCCCGAGCATGGGGTCAGGATAGGGCCATTCTGACGTAATTCTCAAGTAGCTGCAGCCCCATTCTCTTCACTGGGTTCGCCTTGCTCTCTCCTTTAAGCACACAGATGCCTGCTGTCCTGGTGAGGGCGCGGGGCCCAGGCGCAGGGCAGAGGTCACTGGCTGGGTTTCCAGAGAAGCAGGCGCCTCATCGCCTACCCTCCGCTGGATCTGTGGGGACCCAGCTACACGAAATCAAAAAGGGATGTTTTCTTCCCTCCAGTGCTTTGTTCAGAGTTTTGTTTACTGTTCCACTACATCTGTTCCTTTAGTTTTCCCTCTCCTGACCTTTTTCTTTCCCTGTCATTCAAAAAAAATTGACTCCAAAAATATCTCTGTGGCATGGTCATATTTAGCCACTACATGGAACTTGTCACAGTTTGGTAAACACCTGACCATTAGTTTCCAGAAGGGGGAAGAACTCCTTGGCGCCCTGTGTCTCATGAAGCTCTTTATTGGTGAGAGCGAGCTCACAGGGCGCAGGTGCCGGGAGGGCAGGGGGGGAGCACGGAGGCCGCCCTGGGCCCCAGCGCAGGCTCCCGTGGCTGGCACGCGGTCCGACACGGTCGTGAAACATTGATGACAAGGAAAACGAGGCCAGTGGCCTTTGCCTCATGCATTATTTTTCCTTCCTAGCTGTGGAAGACAGAAAATTGTTCATAGGAATGGTTTCGAAGAAATGTAACGAGAATGATATCAGGGTGATGTTCTCTCCGTTCGGCCAGATAGAAGAGTGCCGGATCCTCCGGGGGCCCGACGGGCTGAGTCGAGGTGAGTGTGCTGTCGCGCAGGTCTCGTTCCTCAGGCGCTAATTGGAGCTCCGTGTCACGGTCAGGGCAGATGCAGCTTCCACACGCAGCCAGGGTTACCCCGTGGTACATCCCACGTGGTACAGTTATCCAAGCTGAACTTTTCACCGTAGCTCAGATGATCACATCTTATTTCTCAAGTCGGAAGGTCCTGGTGCCAACATATTAGCTCAGGTTATCACTGTCAGATGGGAAGCCGGGCAGCCTGCCCTGTTGTTACACATGCCTTTTCAATCGCAAATTGAAGTAGGTCCTGGGGGGTGGGGGTGTAAATGTGGGAGAGGAGCAGGAATACTTATTGTTCTCATCTTAGTTGCTGGCTTTCTGGTTGTGCCTAAAAGAAATGTGGAGGGTGTGGGCCTCTTGACTGTGTTGTAAACAAAGAAAAACGGCCCACACTGCCACGGAGAGCAGGGCAGATAGGCGCTCAGAGGAGCTGGGCCCTTCCAGGGGCATCGGGGTTTTATGTCAAGACTCCTGGAGTCCTGGACGCAGGGAGCCCATTTAGTGACAGGGAAGTGACTCCGTCCAGAAGATTGTCACCATAGTGGAAGTAAGGCTGCGGCTCGAGCACCGTGAAGCTGGTATTTTTGCAGGCAGTTACACAAAGTAGCTGGAAATAACTATTCTCTTTCCATGTTTGCCGTCTCCTGTGACAAGGCCACCCCCTGCCTTTTTAAACCACTCATAAGGGCTGCCGCTGAATGCTAACATTCTTCTGGTAGCAGCTTCCCAAACAGTCCAGCGAGGCCCCACTGAAAGCAAGTACATAGAATACGTTTCTTCTAAGAAACCCGTACTTCTGCAACACTGAAAGGATTTCATTCCATTAGTGCAGTTATCAGCGCAAGTTCCGTGGGGCTCATTAGAACCATCTTTTCCTTCCCCGTCTCTGGTTCTGGGGCAGCACTCCCATCCCAAACCGCACGCGGAAGAAAAGGCTGGCACCAAGTGTCACAGCCCTGACTCTCACCCGTCTCCCCCGTTGACTTAAAGTCAGCACCACGTGCGGGAGCACATTTGTTCTTTTGACTTTTAGACATAGCGCGTCAGGATGTCAGCTGTCAGAATGGCAGGCACAGAGAACAAACGTGTTCCACCCACATCCACCTCCACGTCCCCAAATGGAGGGGCTCTGGAGCAAAACCAGGAGGCGGCGGATCAGCCTCGAGCTTGCCATCCCTGCATTCTGCAGGTGGTTAAAAAAAATAGAGGGGGGAGGAGGCACGGAGATCACAAGCACGCTCCAGCAGTTCTGAAACTCTCGTTATGAAACCCTCGCTGATGAGATGTGGTTCTCTAAAAACTGACCAAGACAGTGGTATTGAGGGCTATCCTAAACGGCAAGCCCAGCGCCTCCCTCTCATCTGTCGCTCTCCACCTAGGGCATAACCAGCAGCACCCAAAGCAGTGCGTCATGCTGGGGACCCGCACAACCTCTGGCTCCTGGACAGCCTCCCATCAGAAGGCCACTAGGATTTCCTTCCTAGCCCTCCGTGCCGCCCTGGCAGATTCACACCATGAGAGCTTCTGATCATATGTGGTCACTGGTTCTCCTGCAGTTAGGCCACACATGTGCCCACTCAGGCAGACAAGCCAGGAGGGAGAATTCCAAGGGAAAAGGCAGGGTGGCAGACAAAGGGTAGAATGTGTAGGCAACACACAATAAGATTTTTCCAATCCCTTTCTGCTGCCACGTTCATCACTGGAACCTCCATTCTCTCCTGTTGCTATTCTCAGTCATTCTTCTGTGTTTTCACGGTATTTGTTCATCACCAGGGCCTCTGGCACTGAGAACAGAAGGGCAGGCCCTTCAGTTACTCGCAGTGGAATTCACAGAGGCTTGAGGTCGCTGACCCCCAGGGCTCACCTCAGAACTTCTCCTGATGTGAAATGTCACTGCAGTCATGTCATCTTCCCACCTCTCTGCCTCAGTTTCCCCATTTGTAAATGGCAGAAGTCACAGTACCTGCCCTGCGTATCTTATAATGCATCATGGGTGAGCACTGTGGGAGATTTTTAGTACAAGCATGCCATCTGCCTGGTTTAGTAGAGACCTTGACCATGAGTGAGGAGGGCATGACTCCCACTCTCCCTCTGTAGGGCTGGGCTTGTTGGTCCAATGACAGCCTCCTCCCGCCCCCCACCCCCCGCTCACTTTGCATATGTCCAGTGGGGACAGTCAGGAATTGCTTTGGTGCCTGCAGTGTCTAGAGCAGTGATGACGAACCTATGACACGCGTGTCAGAGGTGACACCCGAACTCATTTTTTTGGTTGATTTTTCTTTGTTAAATGGCATTTAAATATATAAAATAAATATCAAAAATATAAGTCTTTGTTTTACTATGGTTGCAAATATCAAAAAATTTCTACATGCGACACGGCACCGGAGTTAAGTTAGGGTTTTTCAAAATGCTGGCACACCAAGCTCAGAAGGTTCGCCATCACTGGTCTAGAGCTCCCTGAGCAGCCGTGTGTTATTTCTGCCGATGAGACTCTAAAGCTGCCCGAACTTACATAAGAAAGAGCTGTGCACAGGACCTGATGAGAGTTGGCCAGTTTGATCGGCCATTTGCTTCCTAAACCGGCACTGGACCCAGCAGCGGCCTGCTTCTGAAACAGGTCGGGGAAGACCCTCATCCCTGCTTTATGCGAATGCTGGCTCCATGTGAACAGCAGAGTCCTCCTTCCTGCCCCCCCCCCTTTTTTGAACAGAAAAGTAATTTCTGATGAACTGATGAGCATTCCCTATGGCAAAGAAGAAAATACTCATTTATAACCATTTGTTCTGAAATATAAAGGCAGACAGTGGTAGATTTTTCAATTAGCAGGGCCCAGGGACTCCTGGGTACAGGGGACCACTCCTGAATCAGTGTATTTGTTAAAGGAACAATTCTCTCCCAGGCTACTATTCTGCTTTCATTAAATAATTGCAGTTCTCAATCAAATATTAATGTGTCTCCCATTAGTGGCACCGCAGATAAAGGGCGCTCAGCACTTCTGGTCTCAGTGCCTGTTGCCGGCTCAGCTGTTTCAAAAATAAATAAATATTAAGTGAAACGAAAGCTTGGCTGCTCTGAAAACTGCCTGCTCACAACTAAGCCAGGGTATAAACTAGTCAATTAAAAAAGTGTTTATTGGGTGGTTCATTTTTCTTTTTTTGCTTTTCAGCTACAAGAATGATGATGCTCCCCCTCACGTGTCTCATGTCATTTCTTCTCTGCCACATCAGTGGTTTAAATTCCACTCAGGTTTTTCCAGGCTTGTTGACTCGGCCTGTCCCCCCCTCCCCCCGCCCCACTGAACCAGGCTAGTGGGCTGCCAGGACACACAGCTTGGTGCCCATCAAGCACCACTATACTCTCAGTTAGCGCCGCTGTCTATAAGGAAAAAAAAAAAAAAGCCTGCTCTGCCTATTGGCAAGAAAGACTATTTTAAAAGTCCCATCATTACTCACCAGCACCCAAGTCGGTCATGTTTCAGGACAGACTCCCCCACCCCCAGCCCCAGGAAATTGCCGTGACTGTGCACGGACAGCACCTGGCCCCTTGCTGCTGACGCTCCCCCTCAGGTGGCTCCTGTCATTTCTTCTCTGCCCCATCAGTGCTGAGCACGCGGAGGACACTCAGCAAACAGCAGGACTCAACCAGTGCAGTGCGCCCACACCTAAGCATGCGTTTCCCCTTGGGGAGCGGTAACCCGTTCTGCCATCTTTCCTAATTTGGCAAGTTTGGTTTGAGCTGCTGTCAAGCACCTTCATGGTCTCACCTCCTTCGGTGATGGCAGATGGACCTCCCAGGCTGCTGCAGGAGCCTTCACTGAGAGAGCAAACAGCATGCAGGGAGCCCACACCTGGCAGGTCAACTGAGATCGGAGCCCTCAGAATCAAAGCCTGAGGCGTCCACGCCAGTACACTTACCTGACAGTGTGACCTTAGCGTGTCGATCTCCTAAAATACACATGTTTGTTCTCACCCCCGTAACCTTACAGTCAGGATAGACTATTGGGCACAACCTACAGGGTTTTCTGCAACGGAACATTTGTAACTCAAAGACAATGGAGGAATTTATTTCATGGTTTTTTTCCCCCCAGAAACCTAGAGTCAAATCTCCACTGCCATTTAAGGTAACTTCCTGCTTGTTTAAGAATATTCCAGCTGTGTTTAAGGCGTTCCAACATTCTCCTGCCAAAACCCCTGACAAATGAATTGGCAATATTATCAGGGATGTTGGCGAGCACAGACTGGACTCAACCATTAAATCCTCATTTGTTTTTGGTATATCTGATCAGGACGTTAGGGTAGGGCTTTTGGCTCTTAAGTCATGTACACAGAGAGGGACTCGGGTTTGATCACACCATTTTAGTCTTGCCCACATAGTACCTAAACCAGGGGTCCTCAGACTTTTTAAACAGAGGGCCAGTTCACTGTCCCTCAGACCGTTGGAGGGCCGGACTGTAGTTTAAAAAAAAAAAACTATGGACAAATTCCTATGCACACTGCACATATCTTATTTTGAAGTGAAAAAACAAAACGGGAACAAATACAATATTTGTATTTGCATGTGGCCCGCAGGCCGTAGTTTGAGGACCCCTGACCTAAACATTCAGAAGTTTAGGGACTTTGATCCGATGCCCCTGGATTATTAACTATATCATATCATCTTTCTCTGTGTACAATCTTCCAATCCCATCTCAGAGATGAGATTTTGCCAATTAAGTCCTAGTCTGCAGTCACCCTCAGGTGCTGTAAATGACTGATCCCTTCATGCCAATTTTAAATAAGTGGACCCAACATCGGGAATGATTCATTGGAGTATTAATTTTTGTGCTCCAATGTTATTATACTGATAACATGTGTTTAGTGACCCCTGCCACTGCTAAAAAAGATAGAGCAAGGAAAATTGGCTGCATGATGATCTTTTGTCAGCTGGATGGGAATTTATTATAAACAAGTTTTCCATAGGTTGAAATCTTCATGCTGCACACGTTATTTTAAATTATGCTTTTTCTGTTGAAATGTAGGCAGGCTGCTGCATCTCTTTCAAAGCCCGGGCATTGTAGGTGCTTTTAAAAAGTGCCTGTAATTTTTTTTTGTACGTACAGAGCAAGAATTCATCTAGTTCTCCAAAAATTCTCTTGCAGCCTAGAGAAGAGGTAGAACACCTGAGTTCAAATATCCTTTCAGTTGAAATGACAAGTGTAATAGATGTGTTCCAAAATCTCCTCTGTGACAGGTCACGTGCTTTCCTTATCCTGTCTGTAGGAGGAAATTACTTTGAGAAACCTTCCCAGTCAATCATTTATCTGTTTTAGTAAGAACGCAACCTCACTGAAATAAGAGAAATTCAACTTCTTGCATTTCCATTAGCAGTCTCTGACTTTCTGAAAATGGAGACAATAAATAGTTACAAGATTGGCCGCAATCACCGACACAAATTTTTCTTTTGCTGTTATGTATTTAGAGGTTTTAAGACAGTGACATACAGGCTGTCTTATCTAACCCCACCCTCCCCCCCAAAAATATGTAGCTTCATTATTTGGGTACCTGTATCTTTTCTTTCCAATCTACTTTCTCTTTCATTTCTCAGTGGCCTGAGAATTGACTGCTAAGACAGCACATATAACAGTCTAGAGAAGTTAAGGAGTAGACCCTTTAAGACCAGAGCCATTGTCCTGGCCGGA